AACCCTTTCTTTCAGAACTCCTTCATCTATTTTTTCTTTTTTTAGATTTATTATTATTTTTTAATTTATACAATAGCTGGGGTACAGGCTAGAGGCGCGGGAGGGTAAGAGGATTCACCAGCAACAGAGTGGGGAGCAGAATAGGCAGACATACTAAAGACACTGCTGAGGGGAGCAGCGGGCAAGACAGGAGAGGTCTGCCACACCATGTGGGTTTCTCCCTGGCTGGCCGGGAATCGAACCCACACTGCAGAGGCTGCAGACAGCTTCACAGCGCTGTGCCCAACCTGCTGCGCCACCGGGGAGGCCCTTTTTTTCTTTTTTTAATTATTTAAAATTTTTTTTACATCATTGTTCATTTTTAAACAATATTTGCTTCTCCCCCACCCCCTCAGGTGTAGTCCCCACAGAGTTTTCTTCCCCAATGCACCTGTGCACCATCACCTCAGTCCCCTGTGCTTCTCCCTCTCCCACCTCCTCCCCTGTGGTATGTCTCTGATTTATAATTGTCCGTTTTTGCTTTGTTGTGTTTTGTACTGTTATTATATTTTTACACTGATGTCTTATTTGGTTACACTATATTCCTGCTATAAGTGAAACCATCTGATATTTTTCTTTTTTCTTCTGGCTTATTTCACTGAGCATAATTCCTTCTAGTTCCATCCACGTTGCTGTGAATGGCATGACAAATAGGATAGTTAAAAATCCAACACCTTCTTCACTCGTGATTTCTTTTTGTGGAAGCATTTCTCTTAAGTATCCAAGACAGTCTTTCCCACCAAGATCAATCATCCCTACTTTCAGGAGGTGAGTGGTCCAGGATAGGTCTTGAGGGAATGCAGGAATGTGTGAATCACCGAAGAATTTGTAGAAAAAGGAAGAGCCCTATTGTACAATTCTAAATGGGAGGGATCAAGGGATTCAGGCATCAAGTTTTGGGGGAGAAAGAATATTTGAGTGATCACAGAGAAAAGAGATGAGATAAAATGGAAAGATGGGTGTGATTACAAGTCAGGCAACTGAATAGATGCAAAAAATAAAACAATCATTTAAGAAGTTTAGATTTGGGGGGAAAGTTAAGTTTTTGGTATGGTGGAAGCAGAAAAATCTTGAGCTTTAAAGGTGCTTGTATGATGGGGTTGGAGGGGTGACATACAACTGAAGAGATATGAGCCTATTCCCCTAAACCATTCATGGCATTGCAAGCCAGTGTTACCCCAATAAAGAAAAAAAAAAGAAAGAAAATAAAAGGAAATCTTGAGCCTTGAAGGTCACCCTGGTGTCCGTAGTTGGGTAGACCCGTGCACTTTCAGTCCCTTAGGACCCTGACTAAAACGTGTCCTCTCATCTGTTTGATCTTTTCTATCAGGACTATTCTCTGCCTTATTTTCAATTTATTTATTCAGCAGATATCTGTCGAACATTTCTAATGCATTAAGAGTAAATATGGAAAGACTATATTCCTAACTCCAAATTTTTAAAAGTAAAAATTGAGAGGCTCATGAACTTGCCTTCGGGTTTGTGGTGTCAACTGTTATAGAGGCGTTAGGTGCAGGTTCTGCTGAAGCTCTGAAGAGAGGACACTTGAATCTAACCAGGTCATTAGGGAGACTTGACAGAGGAACAAACTTCTGTTACTCTTTCTGTGACTCCTCCTTGAATCATCAGAGAGATTTTAAATGTGTAAAGGATCTTAAAATTCTTTTTTTCCTAAAATTCAGTGGAAGCAATATTGTGATAGACATTAAACACCCAAATCAGTGTGAGATACTGTCAGAAGCAAACTCTACAAAAGCAAAGCCCAAAAGCAGTTCCAGAACTATTGCAACTTGTAAGCACCCCAGTGGACTTTGAGAATACAAAAAATTAGAGAAAAGAAAGAGAAGGGAGGTTTTTATCAGCAGAACCCTCTCCTGGGGGAGAATTGTTGCTTTTTGTGAGTTGCCAGTCCTCTTCCTCACAGGGAGAAGGGAGCATGGAGGAGCCATGTTCTAATTCTGGGTCTCAGGAGAGGGCAATTTCGAAAAGTCATTTGGAGAGTGAGCTGTAACATACCTGAGGGGAACCACAGTTGGATGGGTCATAGGCTAATCCTGGCTCATACCTGGGAATGCTAAGGAGGCCAGTGAGGGCTGGATAAGGTGGTCACTTGATCCCAGCCAGTGCCTGGGTAGGAGAATATGAGTGTTTCTATATGTGGGTCAGGCAGAGAGAGAGAGGAGCTGAAACTATTTTAGGCCTGGGATAGGCAGCTTTCACAAATGGCCTTCAGTGATCCCCAGCTCCTGGGATTTATGTCCTTGTGTAATCTCCTGTTGCATGTGGGCTGGATCTAACGACTTTTTTTAATGAATGACAAATGTGATGGGATGCCTCTTCTGTGACTAGGTTACAGAAGAATGTGACTTCTGTCTTGCTGGGTTCTTTCTACTGCCTTCCCAGTTTTGCACATGTTCATGAAGCAAATTGCCATCTTGGAGAGGCCCACAAGACACAGAACTGAAGGCAACTGCCAGTCCAAAGCTCCTCCCCTGTTCAATAGTCCACAAGGAACTGAATTCTGACAATTTGTGAGTAAAGTAGGAGGCAGTTCCTTCCCAGAGGAGCCCTCAGATGACTGTGGCCTCAGCATCGCGAGGCCCCCTGAAGCAGAGGACACAGAGAAGCCAGATGGGGAGTCCTGACCTATAGAGACCAGGAGATAATAATTGTGTGTTGTTTTAAGTCATGTAATTTTGGGGTCATTTGTTATGCTGCAGTAGATAACTAATCACAAACTCCTACAGGATATCCTCCAAAGGATAACCTATGGAAAGAGCAGACTCCAACAGTAAGAGCCTATACAGGCTAGACCACAGGGCAGCCAGGGATAGAGAAGGAGCTGTAACCAGGACAGAAAGCATCATTCTCATCAAGGAGGCCAGGAAGAGGAGCCTCAGTGAGCTCTTAGAAATGTCCATGAGAGAAATGATGGACTGGGATACAGACAGGGTCCAGTGGGAGCAAAGCAGTCTGAGGAGGACACTGGTTCTCTTCCTTCCTTCACCCCTCATACTATCCCAGAAAAAAAATGAAGTTTCTTGAGAAAGAATGAGAGACAGAGAGCTCCCAGGAGAAGGCAAATAGGACATAACTAATCTGACCAAATAGAGAAAAAAGAGAAAACACTTGCACAGTTACAGACAGTATTTTTAATGTAGAAAATTAATAATAAGGAAATTCAGTTGCAACCACAAAATCACCTGCTAACCCATTTGCTAAAATAAAATTTCCTCAGAACACCAGTGCTAATTCAATCCTCAAATGAGTGCTGGGGTGACAAATGACCCTCTGTGTTGTGGAAGTTGGCAGATTCAGACCTTCTGGAAAAAGGAACGATAGCCAATCCCAAACCTGGGCCCTTTCCAAAAAGAAATCTGTGTCTTCTGGCAGAAGGCCAAATTATCCAACCTGGGATCTACATGCAGGATTTTGTCTTATTCACTTCTATGGCATATTGCCTAAGGTGAGGGCATGAGAAAATGTGTATTTGGTTAAAGTTTCAGATGAATGAAGGTTTACACCGACAGATCAAAACCTCTGCTTATTCTAACTTCATAAAGATTTAGCTGGTTAAGAGGTCATCTATTGCTAAAGGAATAAAATGTTTAATAATAGGAGAACCTATTTTCCCAAACAAGTTTGGATGGTGAGTGGACTGTCATCAATGTTCTCTCTCTTCTCCATCAGGATTGTACTTCCTGCCTCCCTGAGGTGAGACGCAGTCACATGGCTCACTTTATCCTATGAAATATGAAGGAAAGTGCCATGTGTCTCTACTGGGTGGAAACTTTGTTTTCTTCTACCCTGATCCTAGCAAGTTTCTTGACATTAGCTACCCCATTGATCTGGGCACCCAATGAGGACCAGCAGGAAGAGCCCCACCAACCCTAGGTGATGCCGTAGCACTAACTTTGTTGTTTTAAGCCACTAAAACTCTTTGGGGCTGCTTTGTCCTTTGACTAAAGCAAAAGTAGCAATTCCTGAAAACTCCATCATATAATATAAACAATACAGTTCCACTTTGGTGGTGGGCATGGTGTGATAACTTGTATTTGCAGAGGTGTAAACCTACAGACCCCTAGAAAATATAGTGTTTAAAATCAACATTACAAAAACAAACATTTTTAAAAAGCCAAGAGAAATATAGTCCCACAAAAACATTAAATGTGTTATATTATAATTAGAAGTTCCATGTGTAATCAAGGACTAAGCAACAAATAAATCTAACAACATACATAACTTAGTTGTTATGAAAGCAGACATCTTGCTTTAATGTTGGCAGCTTTGACCACTGAGGATCGCGCCAGACTCCGATGGATAACGGGAGGATAGTGTTTCCTCTTGGCTCTTCCCTTTGACCCATGGAGGGAGAGAGACGGCCAGATGAACGGGGTGACGCCCAGGCTGAGGAGCCGCTGGCCGTTTCCCGAGGGCAGCCCCACAGGTCCTGGAGGCCAGTCAAGATGGCTGCCGCCGCAAGGGCTGCTGGGTAGTCGGCCAGCCCTGGCGGAGTGTGGAAGCGCGGTCCTGGGGCCTCCATCACCAACCTGGCGGAGGTGGAGCCATGGCCCTTCAAACAGGGACCCCCAAACCGACAGGGGCTGTGACCTCAAACCCTTAACTGAGCTGAAGGAGGACAAGTATGGGCGGGAGCTCAGAGAGACTCAGCTCCTGAAAGCTGCTCCAGCGGCCTACGCGGCTCCGGCGTTAGAAGCGCCAGTGATGAGCAAACTCGCCTCCGTGATGATGGAAGGAGGAAACAAAGCACTGGCCCGCTCCCTCGTGACGGGCTCTGGAAGGTGTGAGAAAGGAGCGATGTGAGAAGTAGGCAGAGGTCCAGGCGCCGGCGGGCACAGCCCCGACCCCGTCTTCTCCCAAGCCCTCAAAAACTGTGCCGCCCTCCAGGGTGGCCGCTGCTGCCGGGTGCGCGTGCCCTGTCAGCCCGGCGCCGCCGCTTGCTGGCCGCCAAGTGGGGGATCACTGAGAGCTGACACCAGAGAAGCTGTCGCCGGAGCGGATGGAGGCTTTTCACAGCCAGGACCCGTGGGTAAGAGGAAGCACGGCCTGCACAGATGGCCAAGGCCAGCAGTGCCTCGGTCCACTGGCGCTGGTGGTAGAGTGGGGTAGTTGCTCCCCCAGGCCTCGGGCCCTCTGCAGCAGGGATACCCCGGGAGTTCTGCCACCTTGATGGGTCAAAGAAGCGGTTCCCTGTTAGGGGGGACTGTCTGCCCTGGAGCAACGTGTTTCTTGCTCATTAGTCTTTCTTTGGGGGCTAGCATTCGCTCTTCTTGCCCCATCTCCTTACAAAGAGGAACCTAGTGCCTTGGATTTCCACCAAGAATCCCAGGGAGGTGGGGGGCACCCTGTTTTTTCTTGCTTTGGCTTGGTGTATAGGCGCTAGGAGAGGTAGTAGTTTTAGTAACAGACAAGATTTATTAGAAGAATTTACCCTGAACTGGCATGGCACTAATGTGGTCTGCCATTCATTAAAACCTGCCTGAGGAAAATAAAAATAAAGTTGGCAGCTTTAATTGGAAAATACTGGCTTTGGAAAGACACTGACAAATGGACATAGTTTTTATCAACAGAGCGGTGGTGGTTCAGCCACAGCTCCTTTGACCAGATTACATAGTAACTCTGGCACAGACTGAGCCCAGGTAATATAAAGGGATTGAGGGTCTGCATATCTGTCCTGTGCCTCTCTCCCTCTGTGAATGCATGTATAGTATGTACATTTATATTTATTTATCCATGTAACTACTGATACAGCTTTTTTGGCTGCTTGGAGAGATCACTGGCTTTAGAGCCCTTAGAGAAGACACGTTAAAAGGGGATGAACTTGAGGGGTAGAAAAAAGGCGGAAGATAGACTAAATGTTCTATAAAAGGCTGGAGATGCAAAGGGGCTGTGGTTGAGTCACAAATCCGAAGGCCTTAAGGGCACTAGGCTTTGCGTTCTTCAGGGATGAGGGACATATTTTTCTGTATCTGCCTCCCATGCATCTGGTACTTTGTAGAAGGGTACCCACTATTATTTTTTTTTAATGAATGACTGACTCGGTGATTATGTGAAAGACAAGGCTTAAAATGAGAACTAGCATATGTTTTAGAAGAAAAAAAAGACAAAAGAACAACTGTGACTGAGGAAGGCTTTGGGAGGCCAGGCAGAAAAACAGGGAAGCCTTGAAGGGAAGGTGCTTGGAGGACTTGTCTCCTGACCCAAGCTAAACCCCAATCTTTTGTGCTCTCTGGGAAGGGCTCTGAGCTGAGCTGGTAGAAGTCTACTCAACATAGGTGAGTCTGGTGATACTGAACATGTGTCTGAACTTATCCTCAGATGGAGATGAGAAACAACTCCCTCTGCTCTACCTCCCTCACAGGGAGGTTGAGGCTAACAGGAAGTCTGTGTGAGAGAGCTCTGCAGACTCCCAACACTGGCCCCGGTGTAGGCAATCCCACCATCAGGTGATGTAGCCAAGGCAGGGTAGCCCTGCACCCACCGTCGGCATGTTGGGCCATGGCAGAAACTTCAGGCCAGATTCCTAGAGCCTCTTAGGACTGGAAGTGGTTTCCAAAAGATCAACAAACAATCTCGTAACAGAAAAACTCGGTTCTTTAGACCAGTTTCCGAGTCCCAGGACAGCAGCAGCACTGCTAGTTTTCTGGTGATTATTAGATTAAGAAAGGTGTTCGTGAAGGAAAGGTCAGTAGGGTTCTGCCCTCACCCAGGAGCCAAATCCAGCCTCAGGGTTGTTTTATTTGGACTGAGTTTGCTGATTGTAACAACCAGCGCCGGATGTCTTATAAACAGTTAGCCTGGCAGTTTGATGGACGAGCGTAACATTTGGGTATCATCGACTTTGCTGCTATGAAAGACAGGTGATGATTTTTGACAGAAACAGTCAGTGGCAGTGTGGAAAGAGAGGCGCCAGAGCGCTGAGGCTCACACTGTTGAGAGGTGTGGGGTCAGATCCAAGGGCATTTGCGATGAGGCCCAACAGCCTGGGTGACACATTCCTGATATGAACACTGGGTGAAACTTTAGGACACACCATGTATATTAGAAAATGTTTGAAGTGCCGAATCTGAGTGAAACAAAGAGAAAAGGGAGGCAAGTTCCGTTGTGACAATAATAAAATCAACAGGCCAGCCTTGAACTTGGGACTCACTTGGATGCACAATTTTTTTTTTTTTTATGTTTTGTGTCCTATTTTATTTCTTAAATTTTAAATTGATTTCTAATTCACATGCCATAAACTGCACCACCATTAAAATGTACAGGTCAGTGGTTTTTGGTATATTTGCAGTATGTGCAACCATCGCCACTTTCTAATTCCACAAATTTTCATCACCCCAAAAGGAAATCTGGTGCACATTAACAGTCACCCCCAGTCCCCTCCCTCTCTACCCCCCAAGCTTCTGGCATCCACTCATCTACTTTCTGCTTTCATGAATGTGCCTATTCTGGACATTTCATATAAATGGGATCACACAATATGTGGTCTTTTATGTTTGCATAGTATGAGATTTTTGAGGTTCATCCATGTAGGAGCTTTTTTCAATACTTCATTGTTTTTATAAGCAAATAATATTCCATTGTATGGCTATACCTCTCATTCATCAGTTGATGGACATTTGGGTTGTTTCTACTTTTTGGCTGTTGTGAATATCTGTGCACTGTCATGTGCTGTCATGTTTCATTTCTCTTGGGAGAGAAATTAGGGTGTATCTGCTAACCCTGTGTAACTTATGGAGGAACGTACCTTAGATTTTTAAATGAACCAGGTGAATGTCAGTGTATCACCTTGCCTCTGTAAAACACCCTGGATTCGTCGTTGGAAGGAGCTGGTGCCTACTAGTAGAGAATCATGTAGGCCAGGTGGTTTGAGTAATGGTGGAAGCGGCCTCTTCTGATGTCCGTGTCTCTGACAGCAGCAGAGATGCTGGTTTAGAAAGGAGGCAGACACATGCTGTGGCTGAGGACCGCTATTTCTGTTAACCAGGACTGCCTGTTGGTAGGAGCCAACGATTTGACAGCTGAAGTGACTGATTATCCTGTTTTTCCCCTTCGTATGAGGTTGTCCAGAGAAATACATACCCACTTACACTGTACCCACACACTGTGAGGTTGCTCTAAAGTACAAGGAATGTGCTCTGAAGTAACACCTGAGGGTGGTTTTCTAGAACTTGGTAGGTTAGACTAAGGAACAAGGCACACATGTCAAACAGACAATTTTGATCAAATGCCAAATTTGTGGTACAGATTATAGGGTTTCTAGCAAATAGAGCTTGCAGAATAGGCTGTGGCTCTTATGTGGGGATCCTACCTTCTCAGATGCTACAAGAGGAGAGACAGGAGGCTAAGTAAGTTCTGGTTGCACATAACGTAATTCATCTTGCCATGGAAGAGCATCTAGTGTGCCTCCTTTTCCTCCCCCACGCATTGTTTGGCACAAAAGTTGTAAGACAGATGAATCCTGTGGGGCAAGAGGGGATTTGTTGGGGTCACAGGGTAATCATGAGCAAAAGGGTCTGGAAGACATATGGGTCTTGTTCTAATGTTCTAGGGAGAGTGATGAGTCACCTGGGCAAATCACCCAACCTTCTAGATTCTGGCCATGACAAGATGGGTTTTCTGGACACCAGATGCCTCTGTGATTTGATTTCTTTCTGGTTTGAGATTCACGTGGAATGATTTAAAAAATTGCTGTGGGCTGAACAGTCTTTCTGTTCTTTCCTACAGCTGAATCTGGGTACATGGAGATGAAGCTGAATCAGTGTTTTTTCTACACTTAATTCAATTCAGCACAGCAGGATCTGGATGAGGTAAGAGATCAGGAAGCAAAGGAACCCAGGGTGAACGTGAGAAAGGAAAGTTCTGGTTCAGCTTAAAGTTAAACCAACACCAGAGGTAGACAAGGCCTTATTCAAATCAACATTTTGTTTCTGAATCAGAAGCGTAGACATTTTTGGTAACAGAAAGAGGAGGCATTTGAACTGCTTGAGGGAGTTTTGTTCTAAGGGTCATATTTTAATTTCCTAGAAATCCGAGTTCCTATCATTTCCCTAAAGTACACAGGGAGTCAGGGTTTGGACTTAATAGTCATCACTGATCAATTTAATACTATGTTAACAGTGGTACAGCAATTTTATAAACAAGGGGGGAAAATACCAGAGTTCTTTGAATTTAATAACACACAGTAGTGTAAAGCAGATGCACTCTATAGCAGTGTTCAAGGCCAGATTTATATGGCATAGAGAATATTTTTAAGTTGGTCAAAGCCAACACGTTTGAATATAAATGAATTTGGCATAAACCTTGAGAAGGGTAGAACTGTAGGGATGGACACCCAGCATGTTGGAGATTCTTTTTGGGGTGGCCACTAAGTCACTAGAATTTGAGGACCCCATTGAACGTCTGGAATAGTCTTTGAAAATCAAATGCAGGAGCTAATATTTTATGAGAGCTTATTCTGTGTGGCAGGCACTGTTTGGAGTGTTTCACATGTACCTCACATCCTGTAATCCTCAAGGCAATTTTATAGGCATGATGACTTCAAGTTACTAATGTGTGTGTGTGTGTGTGTGTGTGTGTGAGTGTGAGAAAGAGAGAGAGACAGAGAGAGAAAAAGAGGAGAGGGGAATAGAAGAGGAAGTGAAAAAAAGGTGATGAAGTAAATGGAGAAAAGAATACAAAGACCTAATCTGAATCAAAGTAAATAGGATTCTTTTTACTATTCCTGCAACTTTTCTACTGATTTGAAATTACACCAGAATTAACACTCCTATTAAGAAGATGATATTATTTCCATCCTAGAAATGAGAAAACTGAAAGTGGTTTAAATAACTTGCTTTTGGTGGAGCCAGGATTCCAGATAGATGTTCAGGTAGATTGACAGGGTGAGGGGGATATAGAGATAGAAACACTGTTAATTTGTTATTTTGTTCTTTGTTCCTCCAGAAGCATAGTTTTGATTTTGCCCCTAAACTCAGCCAAGCTTGGGCCTCTCAAGTGGAGGTGCAAAGCAGGAACTGGGAGGAACCTAAGAATATCATAGGACCCAGTGTTTCCCATAGTGTGGTCCATGGCCTGCTCTTGGCCCATGTATCATTACTTGTTCATAAAGAGATAAGTGAGGGTCATCATAGAAAACTCATAGCGAGGGCCTCCCTGGTGGCGCAAGGGTTTGGGACTCAACCTATGACACTATCCACAGCCACTGTGGCACAAGTTTGATCCCTGGCCAGGGAGATACCCACATGGTGCGGGAGACCTCTCCTGACTTGCCTGCTACTCCCCTAAGCAGTGTGTTTTGGTCATTCTCCCTGTTCTGTTCCCTACTCTGTCTCTGGTGAATCCTCTCACCCCCCACACCTCAGGCCTGTACCCCAGTTCTTGTATGCATGGATGAATAAATCTTTAAAAAAAAAAAAAGAAAATTCATAGTGATTTGACATTGCTACAACATCCAAACATTGTGAATTTTCCTGGCAATTCATTTTATTGTTTGTCATAAGGGACCAGTTCCCAACAGATTGAGGCACGGGGGACTGTAGAAGAAAGGGGAAAAAGTTTTGCTTTTTCACCATAGATAGTTTGAAAAGCACTGGCGTAGTCATACTGTCTTTCTTGACAGCTGAGAAAACCAAGACTCAGAGAAATGAAGAGCTGTTCAAAGGGCTTATGGTTAGTCAGTGAGAGGGCAGGAATTGGGGTCCTTTTTTGCGGGCTCTGGTGCACATCTCTGAGGGTGCCATTTCCTTTGTGCCTTCGTGCAATCAGGCAGTGCTAAGCACAGCCCAGGGCCCCTCTCTCTAGCTTCAAGGTGCCCCCTGGCACCAAAATAGGAGTCAGGACTCAGCTAAAAAACTGTCATATTGTGTCATTTTGGGGTATTCAGACTTTGGGCTGTAGGGGAGAGGAGACCTCTCTGGAAACATTACCTCCGAAATCTCATTGTTCTCTGCCTCCTCTACTCTCTTGCCTGTTACTATGTAGAAAAGATTGATCACTGGTAAGAATAAATTAGAATCCAGGTTATTAGGAATATTTCCCAAGGATATAGCACCTCTTTAATCCCAAAGAAGTTCATAAATTGTCCAGCTGTGCCAGAGGCATGTGGTTGCAGGGAGTGGAAGCCAACTGGCATTCTTAGTGGAACAAATGGAAAGTGTGGGCTATGGAGGCCAAAGGGAATTCTTCACCTTAATTAAAGAACTCTGCAAAAAGAAAATGTAGGTAGAGTAGGCAAGACCTGGCCTCTGACTTTATTAAATGAGCCCTGCTTAATTAGAACTTAGTTAACACAAATAGGAAAGAATCGAAGGTAAAGTCCACTGAACTTGGTCCAGTGTAGGAATTGAAACCCTAAAAGTCCTCTTCCTTTTTGGTTTCTACAAACAAACCTACTTGCTTCCTAAGCTATCGGCTTCTCTAAGGGAAATGGAGTCTTGTGTTTCTGAAATATTACATTTAAAGGGCAATTTTTATTTAAAATTTTCTCATTCAATAAATGGGGAGCTTCACATCAACCAAGAGCTTCTTAGAATCATTCTTGCTGTCTGGCTGCTTGCAAAATTTGTATCAGTAAACTATGCAGGACAAAATGTTACTCAGGTTGAATAACTTCATATTAATGAAATGAAAATAAAGCTAGAAAAAGGGAAATTTCAGAAATCCAAATAAACACCCTGCATGCGATTTGTCTTCCCAAACAGTCCCTTGGATTCACTTTTCCCTCTGTGGTTATGTCTCCAGGGCCTTTTAGTGATAACCCTGGACACTCCACATTTCAGCGAGATACAAACATTTCTCTCTCGTGTTCTTGTTTGCTATTTCTGTTAGAAACATGAAAGCCACATCAACTCGATGAAAATCCTGGAGGGATTTAGAAAGAAAGATCAATTGTTTGACAATAAACATGGTAAATCCCATGTGATTAAATAAATGCTTATAAATGAAATCAAGAATATTGCAGTCTGATTTGTTAACTGTAAAGCTAAGACTCAAAGTGATTAGGCAGGCGACCTGTTGGTGAGGGGAGTTGTATTTCAACACAAAATCTGAAAAGTCTTAGATGACAAAGCAGAGATCAAGAGACGTGTGTGAGCTGCCTTTTCCTATTACTGAAGTGGCTTTGTTCTTGGCTTAAGAAAATGGATCTGGGATAATCTCATTTTTATAAGCTCTGCAAATGAAGCAACTTCAGTTGTGTTGCTATTGTTGAAAGGGAATTACTCTTCTCCATAACCTTCACGTGCATTGTGAATCTGAGAAACGCAACTTAAGTTTGTCTTTCAGTACCAATGGGCTCGAGGCACTGTTAGCCGGGCCCATGTGTCTGTCAGAAAAATCAGTTCTTTCCTAGTAAAGCCCTCTCCATCTCAGGATCATGTGAGATTCACCACACAATGCTCAGAAAACATGAGATCATCTTTACATAATGAGAGAATGAGAGCTGGGGCTCGATTTCATATTTTTTCCCACAGATGTGGCTTTCCACTCTTGTCAGTCGTAGCTGAAAGGCCTGCAGTTACCAGGGGCGGTGGCCGAGCGTGAGGGGGAATGTGTCGTTGCTGGCTGTGTTGGCCATAGCAACATGTCTGCCTCAGAGCAGATCCAGCGTGGATGAACAAACAGAAAAACGAGCATGTAGGTTGGAGACTGAAAAAGACCAAAGATGAGCGCTGGGCCATCCATCTGAAACTTGCAGTGACCGAGAACAGAGTGTTCCCACGGTCACTTTAGTTTTCAATAAATTGTCAAGCTGACTAGGGAATAGTCGATGGTGGCTTATCACTAGTTGGCAACGTCTCAAAAGTGGACGGTGCAGAAGTCTCATTGCTTCTAACCCTGGCCAGTGCTCAACAAATACATCAAGTACTAGAGTGTTGTGTTAGCAGCAGCTGAGGCATCGCTTTTATGAAGACATATCTCTTATTCACAAGAGAAGCTCTGAGTCAGTGAGAAACTATGTTTTTTTTCCAATGCAATAAGGTGAGTGTGATAATTCAATGTTTGGAGAAGGAATTACAGGAACACAAATGGAGGGCGACTTGGTTCTTCTTGGGAAAGACTGAGGATGAAGGAGAATTACCAGAATGGAGGCTCGAAGTACATCAGGCAAGAAGCTAGGAAGTCAGGATGTGGTTGGGCTTTCCTGGTGTTAAGTGCAGGGCGGTTTCTTTGTCATTATCTCTGTGTGTCAAGAGGTCTGTTATCTCAATAAATCCCATTTTCAAGATGACTGTCTCCATTTGGACTCAAAAAACAAATATGAAATGTATTGGCTCCTTGGTTCCCGTTATCCCTGAATGTCCCAGAAATGACTCCGTGGTTCACGGTGGAGTTATTGCTGTGGAAGTAGCAAGCCTTCCAGGGAAGCTGCTCAGAGCACATGTCCAGCCTGGACGAGAGCTGAGAGAAGCCACGGCTCTGGTGTGGCATCACATGTAGGAGGAGACAGGGAGCGGCGGTGTTCCAGGTCAGCCAGGCCTTGGATCAGCACAAAGAAAGGGAACTTGTAGACTGGAGGCTCATGCAGAATCCATGATTCCAGCCACGGGGCCAGCACGAAAGACCAGGGGGATTTCATTCCAGTAGAGAGCAGAAAGGAGTCTCTCTCTCTGGGCCTCACATTCCTCTTTTGTACAATGAGCAAGTTTGATGAAATCAGTCATTGGCAAACTTTGTTTCTAGAACCCCAGGGTTCCATAAAGGTACCTCAGCGGTTGGAGATGAGAAAGAATAAGGTTAGTTGGAAAGACTAAATCTCCCTACCCTCACGCCAAGTATTTTGATTCCATTTATTTTCATATTGGCAGTC